ACATACCAAGGGAACATGAATCAAATATGCACTTTTATTCATTTACAATAAACTCATAAAGTACATCATTCTGATTGAAGCTAAGGGCATACAAAATTGTCTAACACTTTTCTGGCGGATTCTCACTCTTCTGGTTCATCTCTTCCTCTGTTCCGATGAACTGGTCAGCGAGCTTGAGAAACTCTGTGGCATCTTTTGGCTTGTTAGCAACCACGTGCCACTTGAATTCTTTGTGGGTGATTCCTCTCTTTACAGCTGTAAGTCTCATAGTGGGGTCTAGATCGGGAATCTGCAAGCACATGTCGTTGAAACGCTTGATGTAGCTCCGGATGGATTATCCTTCTCTTTGGACTATTCCGAGGAGGCTTTCTTGGGACCTTAGGCACCTCTTACTAGTGATGAAGTGCGAGGTGAAGATCTGTATGAACTGCGCCCAGCTCTTGATCGTCCCGGGCACAAGGTTTATGTACCATGTGTGAGCTACCCCCTTAAATGTTGTGGAGAAAGCAACGCACATGTAGGATTCATCTGCTCTGGCCAGGTGCATTTGAGACTGAAATGAGTCTACATGGTCATTTGGATCGAACGACCCATCATACTTGTCTAAGGGAGGTACCTCAAAATCCTTTGGCATTGGAGTGGCCAAGAGTTCGGGAGATAGAGGAGACGACACAATAAGAAGCGGAGTGGTCTTCACGGTCCCCGAGCTCGCCTCTTCTTTTCCCTTAGGCAGTTCAGGGGAGTTATGGACTGTTGCTTGACGAGCTCTACGGCATCACCTTGGCTGCTTCTTTACCGGTTCCGCGTTAGTGCTGCTAGCCTCAGTATTGTCAGGTACCGTTCTCACTGGCAACTACTCGGACTGCTGACGATGGCTGCTGTGGACTGAAGGGTCTTGTCTGGATTCCGCGGCCAGAGAGCCAAACCGATTTTTTGCGAGTGGAACTTCAAATTGCGAAGGCCGAAGCAAAGCGGGCCTAGTGGGCTAGGTGCCTCCCGACCTATTTACTTGTTGCGCAGTGGGAGGAGTAATCTGTCTCTTCCTCCTGTCGCGGGATGAGACTTGACTCCCCTGAAGGTTCTGGATTTTGGAGGTCTCTCCCCAGCGAGGAGGGCGTTCGCTACGGTGGTGAGGCTTGGTTTGCTGCGTAGCTGGATGCTGAGGTGGAAGCGGTTGTTGATTCTGTGGTAGCGGAGGGAACTGCTGTTGGTACTGCTACTGATAGACATGATGAAGGACTTGTTGCTAGTACAACTGGAATTGCTGGACCTATTGCATTTGGGCCTGCATGGCCCGCATGCTGTGCACCAAGTCGTCGAGTTGGTTCTGTCCAGCAACTGGGGGAATGATAGAGGGCTCTGTGAAGGTTGTACTTACTGTAGAAGGGAGTGGTGTGTTCACTAGTGCAATGACTTAAGGTACGTTCAGTGCTGCGTCCGGCGTTGCTGGAAGAAGCCATTGAAACTAGATATGAAATGCTTTGTGGAAAAAGGATTTTTTAAGCGTTCCCACAGACGGCGCCAATTGATGCTGCGCAATCTGGCTACTCCTAGCTGACGGTGGCTTAGCTTCCTGTAGACGACGGACGTGGAGAGTTTGCACAGAAAATCAGAGAACCCGGGGGTACTTACCCAGCGAGGTCGCTCCGATGCTTAAGTCAGTTTATGCAAGCTGAATGTAATCAAAGAGCAAGAGAGCTAGTAAGTAGTAAAAATGTGTGTACCTTTGGGTCCCGAGAGGGAGGCCTTTATATAGTGGAGTCCTCGCGGGCTTAACGAAGTAGTTCTGTGATCTTTGCCATGATAGAGTTTGTTTCCGTGTTACTTGGAGATAACGTTATCAGTTGATAAGGCTAATCACTTCCGCCTGAATCGGACGGGAAGATAATGCTTAGTTGTCGCAAGACATGATCCTACAGAATTCGGGAACCGTTAGAGTGATTATCGGGTTTATGTTGAGGGTAGATCGGTATACCCGAGCTGGTTTCTACCTCGAACTAATGTTCTCGAGCTAAGGGTCGTAGACCCCGAACTGAATTATGAATTGATGTCGCAACCTGGTACCGAGGTGCCCTTAGCTCGAGATGAGTACCAAGGTGCTCTTAACTCGGGATGAGTACCGAGGTGCTCTTAGCTCGGGATGATTTCAGCTCGAAGGATCCCTAGCTCGGGGTAGTGGAGTATTACTTTGTAGCGAGTTGGCTATGCCGAGTTGTCACCCATGTCAAGTCACGTCCACGTGTTCCCTTATTACGAGGTCGGGCCAAATCACCCTCCATCACCGTCTATCCACCTCTTTCTCTCAAAGTCATGGAGAAAATGACAGGACGTCAAGTAATAAATTGGAGGCAGGCGTCTAATATCAGGCCCATGTACAGCTCATCAAAGCTCAAAGGTAGAGGTAAAACTCAGGCTGAGTTGGATTGTGTTCAAGTTAATAACCCAACCCCAATTCGTGAGTCGACCGAGACGAGATATACCAACCTTAATAATAATATTGTTATAATATTAGGTGGTTAACATGTGGTTAAGATCGACCAATGTTTTAAAAATTGGATCGGGAGCTAAACCATTTTCCCTCTGGGTCACAGGTCAGTGGTTTAATGGTTTATATATAAGTTTGATTAGGCTTACGAGTCTCAAGAGCCAAGTTTTATTGGACTTGAATTTAGCTCAATTAGTAAACTAGTTTATCTATGTGTTTGGTTCCGTTAATGCTTATTAGAGTGGCGTTTATCTGATAAATACTCATTTTAAACGTTGTTTCATAAGAGATCACTAGTCACCCTTAATTGTTAATTGTTAGATTGGCAACCCTTGCTCTCTCACTAGGTTGCATTTGAGGTCCTTAGCAAATGAAACTAAGGGTCCGTTTGGTTTGCAGTCAAAATTAGAATCGAAATTCTTTATAATCGGAATCGAAATAGTTTATTCCCATAATCTGTTTGGTTCAAATAGAAATAGGAGTGAGAATTATAATTAATAGGGAAGGACAAGGAATATCCATTCCCTCAAATGGAGAAATACCATTCTAGCAGGAATAGGAATAAGATTTCAATTCCATCCAACTAAACAATTAGAATCGAAATGGACTCTACTCATGCAAACCAAACGGGCCTAAATTATTGGAGAGCTACCTAAACGAGAAAAATCTAATTAAATCAAATTCAAGTTAAATTAAGGGTGCATTATTAATTCAATATTTCAAAATCAATTCACATTAACTAAAAATCTTGACCCCAAAGTATCACGTGCGTGGCCTAAACAATGTATTTTCGCATTCTGCTCGGCTTAACTCAATTAAAAGTGGAAATCGAATATATTAACTCGGCTTTATCTCTGACCCAGTCAATGGTCAAATTTCAACAGCCAATACTAGCTTTCCACATGCTAAAACCTTAATAGCCACCCTAGGCGATCTTCCTGGTAACCCAGAATCTCTTTTTTTTTCAAAGAAGCCAGCTTTGAAAATTGAAATTACATCTAATGCCAGATTGAATCTAATTTGCCTTTTGCTTAGTTTGGTGATGATGTCAAGGAAAATAAGAGAAATTTGGTTGTTTGGGCCCAATATCGGCTTGGTTGGGCTGTTCGGGAGCTTCCTAGATCTACGTGACACGTTATCCCACCCATTTCCTTGTTTGCCTTTTTGCCTATAAACTTTGATTGTAAGTACTTTTTTACCCTTTGTCCATGGTAACGTGTCATGCGGATGAATCTCTCCAATTGCAAAAAAGCTGTTGGGTCCAAACAGCGGAAAGGCCCAACAGCCTGAGAGAATTTCTGCGAATACCACCTTATCATGAGAATGAATAAATTAATAATTATATTTTAATTTATTTTTACTAAAAACCAAAGAATGGGTCTCAATATGTGAATTTTCCACAAGCGACCTTATTAGATTCATACTTGCCATTGCAGAAAAATCAGGTCAGAGGCGTAAGAAGTTGGGGAGTTGGGTCATTATATAAACCTTAGAAAGGGATGTAAATATATAGGATTGCAAAAGCTAACATCTCCAGGATTGAAGACTGAAGAGCATTTGCTGTGTGGAGGGTGGAAGAAAATGATTCACAGTGTGTCTACTGAATTGGAGGTTGATCTACCGGCTGATGATATCTGGGCAGTATACAGCTCGCCGGAGCTGCCAAAGCTCGTCGTCAAATTGATGCCTCATGTCTACGACAAGATTGACATCGTTGAAGGTGATGGTGGGGTTGGCACAGTTTTGCAGATCGTACTTACCCCAGGTATATATGTTTATTATGTTCGACGTCTCTTTGCTTGCTTTATTTTATTTTACAGGCATCTCTCTCTCAACCAGCTTTTACTCACACGTCCATAGTATTGGCATAGCCAATAAACACTCAGACTTGATCCCCCACGAGGAACCAGGTTTGACCCAAGTAACGGTTGTGTAGAAGCTATAATTGGGCTCAGAATAAAATCAAGTTTAGATGCAGCCACCTCTCAGATTCGGACATGATATAGTTATCTACCAACATCCAATCTATCCGTTAATATTTAGATTGAAATTGGACTTTATCAGTCGGATTCAGTTGAGTAATCCTGGTAAGACCTACTGTGCTCATCAGTTTCTGAACCCATCATTGACTACCTGGTCAAACCAATGATTTGGTGAGAATTCCGGTTTGGAACAACATCTAATCCATCATATCACAAAAAATATGTTGATTTAGTGAATAACTTATTGACCCGGATGGTTGAACCATTGATTCATCAACCAAAAAACTGTTCAGTACTCATTGGTTCAGATGATGATGATGATGAATTGTAGTTAACAAATTTTAAATATCTAATTTTCTAAACCAATGAGCAGTTAGGCTCTCCTTCCAACAAAATTTTCAAATTTAGAAGTTTAAATTCAGCTCCAAGAAAATTCTCTAGCTTGCAAGAAAAAGCTGAAAGCAGTTAGCGTTTTAGTGTTGAGCCTTTGTTTTTTCCTTTGATCTAGGCAGCTTAGAGAACGTAACACAAAGAATGGCTAAAAAAAAACACTTCAAAGAAGTCTAAAACCAATTTTAGGTATCACTTGTGAGTTGCGAATACTCTATTTTCGCCTTCAGAATTGCTATTATAGTCTAAAATGAAGTATTCTGGAGTCAAAGTACTTCATTTCGCATTGCACAACAGAAGTGCAAAATGGCTTGATCCAAACCGATTCAAACCTCAATGAAATTCAAAACAACAACAACAATAAGCAACAAATAACCAAGAAACATCAAAGCAATAAGAAATAAACACACAATACCAACTTTTAACGTGGAAATTAAACATCTCTAATGTGATGAAGAAAAACTGCAGGGCATTAAACCCAGAAAAGTCTTCATTATAATAACAACAAGGGAAATACAATGTGTTTTTCTCTACCATTAACTAAAAGATACCATCATCAAGAGAAAATTCTTTTGGCTCAAACTGAAATCCTCACCAAAATGGTGATTTACAACAATAAAACAAAGGGAGAACAAACACTTTTGGAAATGCTTCTTGGAGATAAATGGTAGCACAAAAATTACTATGGATATGGCCCCCACAATGGCTTCTTCTTGCTTGAAATCCTCCAAGAGAAGCCCTAACTTTAAAAACTGAAGAGCCACCCAACATATGTGTGTGTAAAGATGAGAGAATGAGAGCATTTTTCCTTAACCCTTCTTTTTCTTCTTATGTCGTTTTGTTTTCTTTCTTTTTATTTTAACAAGTGGGCCCTACCTTATGAGGGAACCCAATAGAGAAGGGTGGAAGCTAAATTTTAGGATTCATGGTACACTTTGGCTGAGGAAAGGGTTTCATTGGACCCGGAGAATGACAACATTTGTGAGCAATCTGATGGACTTCTTATTGATAGTGTTGACAAGCTTGTTTATTATTTATTTAAGAGGCATTCAGAATTCTAGGAAGTCAAGGGAACTGAGAGATTTGTTTATGTGGCATCCATAAAAAATTAATTTTCCTTGGGTCTGTGCTAATGTTAAGTATGGTTTGGTGTCTCGCCTGTGATAGAAATGATGGAGCCGCGTACATGGAAAGAGAAGTTCGTAGAGATAAATGACGGAAGGCGTAAGAAGGTGGTGCGACAAATCGAGGGAGGATATTTGGACATGGGATTTCATTTCTATGAAGATATATTCAAAATCAAAAAGAAATCCGATTCATCGTGCATCATTAAATCAAAATCGGTCTTTCGAGTTGACCACAAACACAAGGCCAATGCTTCTCTAGTCACCCCCGATGCATCAGCGGAGATGGCCAAGGCAGTTGCTGAATATGCCAAACAGAAGAAAGCTAATAGCAGCAGCAGCAGCAAAGATAAAGCTAAAGCATGCTATGAATGAGAAACCAATTAAATAGAATAAACAATTCTGCGCTTTGACGCTGTGCAATCAATCCATAGTTTAATTTATTTGAGGTTTGGGATAAAAGAACATGGGTTGGTTGAGCGTGTAAATAAATAATGGATTGGTGTTTGTTTGCTCTTCCACTTAATGATATATTCTCATACCACCCAAAATAAATAAATAAATAACACATGTAAACAAGGACGAGTGTAACTGCAATGCAATTTTCAATTGTTGCATGAGTATGGGAATTCAAATGAATTGAATGCAGACTTTGCTTCATTTTTGTTTCAAATATGCTGTTGACTGTTAATATTAATTTTAGGGTTAAATACTTTAACTACCTTTATGGTTTAGCAAATGGATGTATCCTATTATTTAAGAAATTATTTAAAGTATCTTAGACATTTCTGATAATGTATAACCGTTAATAACACCCATAACAGATAGATAAATTTTAGGGTAATAATCTTAAACTACCTTTATGGTTTAGCTAATTGACTATGTGTACCTTTACTGTTTGAAAATTGATTGACGCTACTCTTACTATTTATGACAATTGACTAATCCTTCTTAGTCATTAGCGTGCATCAATAGAGATGTGAAAAAGACTATTTTACAATCCACTATAATTACTCGGATCTCTCCCTCTCCTTCCCATTTTCTTCGTTGGAATTACCAGAATTGCCAGAACGACAAATGATGACCAGATCTCAGATCTGGGTTCCTTAAGAGATCTAGATTCCTTGCAAAGAATCTGAGAGATACTCAGATCTGGGTTCTTTACTTGGATTTATCCTTTTCTGATTTTATCAAAATGGAGTAAACATCGGCAAGATAAGCATCGGCGACATATTGACACTACCCCTACACTCCACTTCAAGGACAGCAGTAGTGACATTAGCAAAAGTCACCCGTCTCCGGGGCCTCCTGAAATAACCTACTAAACTTCATCGGACCACCGAGGCTGCCTAAACCTCCCTATGCTCGTCGGAAGAAGAAAGCGAAGGTGAGGAATAGAAAAAGAACTTCATTTGACCACCAAGGCTGCCTAGACCTCCCCGTGCTGGTCAAAAGAGGAAGGTGAAGGTGAGGAACAGGAAAAGAACTTCATCGGATCACCGAGGCCACTTAGACCTCCTTGGGAAGGCAAAGGCCGCTTGGACCTCCCTATGCTTCCGTCAATAGTCAAACAGTTGGCAATGATGCTTCTATCGTTGAGAATCTGCCCTCTAGATCTACCGATTCAAATCATTTGGCTGATTTGGTGCTTGAGAATATAGTAGAAGGTTGCAACAACAGGAAAAGTCTGATTTCGCTCCTTCAGATTCAAATCATTTGGCTGGTTTCATGCTATAAAACATAGTGGAAGGTTGCATCAACGGGAAAAGGCGAAGGCAAAGGCTAAGGTTGTTTGGACCTCGTTGTGCTTCTATCAGTAGTCAAACAGTTAACGGTGATGCTTCTGCCGTCGAGAATCTGCCCTCTAGATCTATCGATCTAGAAAATGACGAACCCAAACCCTCTAGATCACAACTGATGTGCAGAATCCTCATGCACTACTGATGTGCAGAATCCTCTGAAGTGAGTTCAACAACCCTGTTTTGGCTACAACCCTTTTCCGACATTGAGAAACAAGGGAAAGAGGGGAAAAGAACCAAGGGGAAGGAGAGAGAGAGAGAGAGAGAGAGAGAGAGAGAGAGAGGAGTCGGATGTAGAGGAGGCTAATGCAGCGGCAGGTTAAGCATCGAACCAGCTCGATTGCTGTTGAAAGGAAGAAGATGATAAAAGTAAAATTGGGTTTTAAAAAAATACACCACTTGTAAATTTTAACAGAATATTAATGAATACAAACAATAAAAATAGAACTAGTCAATTGTCACAGTAGCAGTAGCATTAATCAATTTTCAAACAGTAGGGGTACACTAAATCAATTAGCTAAACCATTAGGATAATTACCCTAATGTAGCATTTCTTCTCAAAAGTTTTTGTGTACATTGGTTTTGGGACTTCAAGGAAGATGCCCTTCTTCTCTATATTTTCATAGGTTCTGTACACACGAGAGTGGCTGTAGTGCCCATTTAAAAACCCGGTTCAGATAAATACTTCATAGATTTACTTGACAAAAAAAAGATAAATACTTAATAGAGATCTTTATCCACGAAGATAAAACAATGCAGTGTACAGAAGTACAAAGCGTTGTCAAACCCCCGTTGAGATACACACAGTGATAGTACGTTGTCATCTTGGTGCCACGAGGTCATCTTCATCTGCCGCTGAGAGACGGGGGGTGACCGAAAAATTTAAAGAGGGTACTAGGAAGTTGAAAAGTTGATCTCCAGTAATGCTCAAATTCCGTTTGGGTTTGGCAGGCTAGGCTCCTTAACTTGACTCACCTCAGTCTTTCCAACTCAGGCCTGACTTCTCTTGATCTCTCCACATTATTCACCAGAAGCACATCTTTGAAACTTGAGATGCAGGAAAAATCTTTGCTAGTTGGAAAATCTTATGCGGGAATTTCCCAGTCAACCCACAAGAATTGAGATGCAAAGAAGAAAAAAAGAAATCTAACCAAGGTTTTCTAGAAGAAAACAAAGGAATCTAATCTCCGCCCAATCTGTAAAATCGGATTTGAAGTACCAAAACAAGAAAGAAAATGAAAAAAAAAATATTAGAAAAATGAAATCCTCTCTTACATCAGACCTAGAATGCTTAAGAAAGAAATAGGTGAAATGAAAGATCTTGAGTCTCCATTGGAGGAAAAAATGGAGGAAAAAATGGACCCAAGTTACACCAAGGAATCAAAAACTGGTGATTAGAGTGAATCTCTATTGAATCACTCTTTATCTGGGGAGTTGTCCATTGTCAGAAATGTACAAGGTAATTTAGATGATTTTTTAAACAGTAAGGTAGATTTGTGTCCATTTGTTAAAGTAGTTTAAGTATTTAACCCTTAATTTTAAATGAGATAAAATAGAAGTTAAAACAAAGATAAATCGATTGCAAAAGTGAACGAGAGATTATGGATTTGTACTAATTCAAATGAAATTGCATAGTGTAAATAATGCCTTGGCTACCTAGTGACCTGCCGGCAGTTTGAAACTTATGTACCCATTGACAAGTCGCCATGACTCCAGATCTACTGCCTATGAGAACTCTGCTCATGCTTACTCAAAATACACTATCCCTCGTGAATTAGAAACATCTCCCCTTCCATAATACCATGTAGAGATTAAGATATTCTCTATATGTGAGAGTAATAAATATAGACAGAATTCTTGTAAACAGGAGATCTGGCCTTCACATGCATGCAGTAGTACCACAACCAAATCAAATAAACTACTTACTTTCTTGTTGTCCAATTTTACCAAACAATAACTGAGAATATAATTAATAGTCATTGCTCATTGGCAGCCGATAATCAGAGAACAAACAAGGATCAGAAAAAAGAAAAACAAAAGCCACAATTTCAACAACCTCCCACTAAAACAACAAGTGCCCAAGGGTTTTTAGCCGGCAAAGTCAGTGGCTCAAGATCCCACATCCCGGCTTTACCCTCCCCAACCCCAAATTTACCAAGCCAAAAATACTTTATTAAAGAAAAATAGTATCAGTATGGATTCCATTTCTTTCTATTGGAGCATAAAAGTATTATTGCTGTACTTGATTACCCTTGGAAATCAAGGGTATATACAGGTATATCAGAATCAGCCTTAAAATAACTTTGAATTTTTGTACGTCTGCTTTCTGTTATTTTTTTCAGCACAGAGCTATGATATGGCAGGTTGGTGAAATAAAGTTGCTGGAACCTCTTCCCTGTATTTTATGACTTTCATGGTTCAATACCATGTTTTATGAAAATAACACTATCGTCCAAACTTTATGACATCATTACATCTGTACCCCATCCATTATATCAAGTTGATAGAAATAGAAAAATTGCTGAAATACCCAACCTTGTTCTTATGAATAGTAACTTGGCTTCCAATTTTGCCCTTCCTATTATTGTGGTGCTCATTAACAATGTTTAAAGTTTAAATCCATTTATTCTAGAGGGAAACCACCAGTCATTTTGATTTTGATAATGTCATTTATCTCTAGGAAGACTGATCAATTCAATCCGAATTTTGAATTACTGTATTTTCTTTAACAAAGTTGATACAAAATAAGAGTCTAATTACAGATAGGTATATTGTTCAGGACAGTGATACTTGAGGGTTTGAACTAAAAGACATTTTAATACCCTGAACTTTTAGAAATATACACTCAAGTCTAATTCGGTTAAAACTAACATTACAACGAGGGAAAAATCCAAGCCATTAATATAACTTTTTAGTGAGACATTAGTTTTTTGTTAAAACTGACATTATAATCATAATCCAAGCCATTTAATAACAAGCCAAATGAAAATGAATGGGACTTCAGAGAATGAATACACAAAAATTCTTATTCACATGATTCTCTTTACTAAACCTTTTTGTTGGTATTCAGTGCCAAGCACTATTAATAACTTCTCCCTGCCCCCTCGACCCTTTTTTCCCAGAAGTGCTGGTAGCAGAATTTGATTCAACATCAACAACAAAATCAGATAACACACCAACAAGCCTGCTCTCAGTTGGTTCTTAATCCAATGGCAAGTGAAAAAGGGGTATATACGATAATACGAACAACCATTCAAGGAGGATATGGATGACATTTAAAAGTATTAAAATGTAAAAAGTTCAATGGATGACATTTAAGTAATGGAAAGGTTGTAAATAAAACTATGTCAAAAGTTCATTGGACAATAATAGAATAGGATTAAAAAACTTAAACCTCCCTTAATGTTCCTCCAAAATAATCATAACTCCCTTGTAATTTCTGAAATAACTAACCTCCCTTGTGAAGCCCTGAATTTAATAATCAACCCTTTAAAATCATAATCAACCCTGAGTTTGATAAATAAACCCCTTGATATTGGAAGGCTTTTGATGGCCTGAAAACCATCCAGGCAGATTCCATTTCATACTAATTCTTTGATAAAAACCATTCACTTGATTATTTTCAAATTGCAATGCATCCATTCGGATGGTCAAACCACTAACCCAAAGCAGTCCCGGTTCCCTGTCAGTTTTTTTGAACATTGGTCTCAAATCCAAAGCGGTCACAGCTGACATGAGCAACCAATAAACAAAATTGTAAATGTTCAATAAAGAGTTTCATATTTGAATGATCTTTATTTCCCACATTTGTAAGCACTCAGCAATTATTAACGAGGATTCAATTCTTTTAGTGAGAAAAAATCTAGATATCATA